TGCGCACCTGGATCCAAAGCAGCGAACCCTGGGCTGCTGTAGCAGAACACGTGTACCTCACCGCTTGCGCCACCGGGCCGGCCCCGATAATCAAATTTTTTAAAAATGGATTTGAATGGGCCTTGAGAAATAAGCAAATGTTCAAATGAGAAGAGATATCCCAGGAGTATAAAATAAAATGAGCAAAGACACACAAAGTGAAAATAAATTCATATTTAGAGATTAGAGAAGAGACTAGAATGGCTAAATATTTAGGGTTGAAATGACATGGTGTCTGAGATTTGCCTTAGAATTCTCCAGCAAAAGAAAAGTGGGGTGGGAAGGAATAATGAAAAATTATGGCACAGAGTTGATTGGTGACAGTCACATAGGGATTTGTTATACTCTCCCGTGTATACTGAAATTTTTAATGATGAAGTATTAAAAATAAAATCTATTATGGAAAGAAATGGACAAAGAACTTGAACATAGAATTCACAAAGGAAGACATGCAAATTGCCAATAAGCATATGAAAACGTGCTCAACATCACTAGTCATGAGGGAAATGCAAATTAAAACCACAATGGGAAACCATTTTACATGAACTAGAATAGCTAAAACAAAAACGCAAAGAAACACAAATGTTGGTGAAGATGCAGAGCAGCTGGAACACTCATAAACATACACAGGCTGACAGCAGTGTAAAATGGTTCGATCACTTTGGTGGCCTGTTTGGCAGTTTCTTATAAAGTAAAAATAATGCCACTCGTAGGTATTTACCCAAGAGAAATGAAACATATGTCTACAAGAAGATTTACAGAAGAATGTGCATAGCAGTCTTCTTTGTAATAGAAAAAAATCTGGAAATAATTCAAATGTCCACCATTGGAAGAATGGATAAGCAAATTGTTATACTCATAAAATTGAATACCACTCAGCAATAAAAAAAAGAACAAACTCTGCTATGTGCAATTACACGCAGGAATCTGAAAAACATTATGTTGAGTGAAAGAAGCCGGGCACAGAAGAATACCTTCTGAATGATTCCATTTATATGAAGGCCAAGGACAGACAAAACTAATGTATCAGAAATCAGAAGAGTAGTTGCCTCTGAGAGGTGGGAGTGAGAACTAACTGGAAACGGACATGAGAGAACTTTCTACAATGATGAAAATGCTCTTTGAGTAGTGGTTGTATGAATATATATAACTGTCAAAACTCATCAAATTGAACACTAAATTTCTGTACATTTAAATTCTATGTATATTTTACCTCAGTAACAACAACAAAACAACAAAAAATACTTGTTTGGAGCTCAGGGAGGAGGAGGAACTAGAAATTAGCAAGTCAGAGAATGCATGATGGTGAAGCTCAAAGCAGAGGTAACCAGAGAAGAGAAAAAACATAGAATGACAATGAGAGACGGCCAAAGCGGGACCATGGGTAAAATCATTCCGGGATCAGACACAGAAAGAGGTGCCTGGGACTGAGAAGCAGCTGTCAGAGAAATATGAAGACAGCAGGATCTCTAACACTAACAGAGAAGAGAGCTCAAACGAGGACAAAGTCGGTCAGTGATATGTGAGAGCAAGAAGAAAAGAGTCTAGCAAATGCGCCAACTGCGAAGTTGCCTGAGATTCTATTTTCCTTTACAGTAAAATTTATAAACACTGTATTTTGTACACATTTCCTGCTTTAATTAACACTAATTGAGCATCTGTCATTACGTCAGCAGTTTGCCAAGCTCTATAAAGTATACAACAATCCTATGAGGCGAATAATTTTATTTTCTCATTTACTTACTTACTTACTTACTTATTTATTTATTTATTTATTTATGAGGAGATCAGCCCTGTGCTAACAACGGCCAATCCTCCTCGTTTTGCTGAGGAAGACTGGCCCTGGGCTAACGTCCATGCCCATCTTCCTCCACTTTATATGGGACGCCGCCACAGCACGGCTTGACAAGCGGCGTCGGTGTGCGCCCGGGATCCGAACCGGCGAACCCCGGGCCACCACAGCGGAGCGTGCGCACTTAACCGCTTGCACCACCGGGCCGGCCCTCAAATATTTAGATAAGAAAACTGAAGTTTAGAGACTTTCAGTAAATTGCTTAAGGTCAGTCACATAGATATTAAGTGCTAGAACCAGGATAGATTGATTCTTTCCTTTAATCATCAACCGAGTATTCAACAAGTGCCTACTACATGCCAGGTACATGCTGGAAGCTGGGGTACGACAATGAACAACTGTTTGGATGCTGAAAGATCACGTTTGATGAGGATAGAAAAGTAGCTGCTGGATTTGGCAAGATGGAGGTCACTGATGACGTCAACATGAGCATTGCACCGAGTGAAGCAGAAGAAAGAAGTAGAAACAGTGTGTAGGCAGATTTTTTAAAAGAAATTTGGAGAAGGGATATGGGGTAAATAAAAGATTTTTAAAAGATAGGCAACACTGGAGGTTGTTTGTATGCTGATGCAAACAATTCACTAGAAAGGAAGAGAATGGCGCTGCAGAATGGAGAAGCGATGACCAAAAGAGCTAAGGATGTGAGAGGGGATGGGTCCAGACGTTTCCAGTCACTGAGCAGAAGCATGCATACAGCAGCAGTGGCTCCTCAAGGCAGCCCAAGGTAGTGGGAAAGCACATACACTGCACCCAGGTAAGAGTCAGATAGAAGACACACGAGGCAATGAAGACACAAGTCCTTGGCTTAAAAGTCACCCTAACAGCAAAAGGACATGGTTCTGATAGTAAGAACTGGACCCTGTTGCTTTGGCCCTTCTCAGTACACACTTAACTCAATCCCCTTTAGGCCCCCGGTGATATAAATTTAGAAATGAGACTCACATCATTCAACAATTTGCTTCCCGCTGGATCCATCTTAGAAAGTTCTCGAAATGCTTCATCCCCCACAAAGCAGATTTCATGTCCATCCTATAACAATAAAGAGAAAAGAAATTTGGCAAAAAGACACCTCACAGGAAACCTGTGGTGCAGCCTGTCCCCTTCCTGAGTAATACTTACAGGGTCAGCCAAAATGACCACTTGTACTGTGGCTTTCCCTGGGGTATCCAGACTCACCAGGGGAGTCAGAATCTTTTGGTTCTCCCTTTTCATCAAGTCTTCTAAGTCAGGCAACTTGAGGAAAACAAAAAGGCAGAGTGAGCAAGGGTCACGTACCACTCTTATGCCATGGTCTCCATCAGCCCTAGAGGAGTATCGGATCAACCAGAAAGAACCCAGGCGCCACTTGTTTGATTTTGTTATCTTGGCCGCTCTCGAGACAACTGTTGAACTTGATACCAGAGCCACAATCAGAATGAACTTAAAGAAAGGAGGGCCAAAGTTCTCAGCTGGTTGCACTAGCTAGACACAGAGCTTAAACCAAAGATCTGGTACCAAACATTACCTCTTTTTGGGGGCAAGAAAAGGCAATTCTTCCAAAAGCTGCTGCATGATCAACTGCACCCTGGATGCCCTGTAGCTCCAGCTTACACTGAAAAGAAATAAGAAAGTGGGTTTATTTTTTGGAACAGGATATGTGGTAAAAAAAATTCAAACAGTACTAAAGGAATAAAGTAAAAACTAAGTATCCCTCCTACTCTCATTCCAGAGACAACCAGTCAGCAGTTTCCTGTGTATCCTTCCAGAAACACAGCATGCACGTATCTTTTTTTTTTACACAAATGGTAGCATAATTTACACATTATTCTGTCCCTTGTTTTTCTCCAATTAATGTTACCACATCAGCACTTGCCTCATTTTTTCTGATAGCTGCATAATAATCCATTCTATGGATGAACCATATATTATTAAACTATTCCCCTAATCCATAGGACATTTAGGTTATTTCTTAATATTTTGCTATTACAAACAATGCTGCAACAGAAAATCTTGTACACACTTCTTTGTGCACACGTATGATGAGTACATATGTCGGTAAAATAAATTCCTAGAAGCAGACCTGCTGGGTTAAGTGCAAGGACTAAATTATGCTCCAATGCTAGGCTATTTTTTTTTTAAAGATGAATAGACTATCATTATAGCATTAAATCTTGTCTACATCTCTCTGACTCAGCAATTCCACTTCTGAAAGGCTACAACCCCAAATATAAACAAAGGTAATATCTGGGTGGTGAGGTTATCAGCACTTTTTATTTTCTTCTTTCTGTTTATCTGTATAAATATTGAGTTGCTGTGAAGAAACTATGGAAATAACCTTCATGTTAACCTCATTTATAAGCCAAACTCAATGTAACAGATTATTTCTCCAAGATCGCTTACCTGGTTATCAGCATAGCCCAGCAAAGCCTTTTGCTTCTCTTCATCTTTTTCATAAATTTTCATTCCCAGTAGATTAGACCAGTAGTTCAAGGACTTCTGAAGATCAGATACTGCTAGAGTTACTTTTAATACAGGATCTGTAGGGTAATAAAACAGCAGGAATGAACAAGTCAGTGCAATGGAATAGAACAGAAAGACTGAAACAGGCTCAAGTATATATAACAATTTAGTTTCTGATAAGAAAGGGATTTTTAAGTCAGTACAAAAGGGCACATTATGTAATAAATGGCACTAGGATAATGGCTTCCCATTTGGTGGGAAAAAGTTACACCTTTAAACTAACTGGCAAAATATATTCCTGATGGGTTGGTTAAAGGATTAAGTTTAAGGAATGAAACTATGAAAATACTAGAAACAGGTGATTATTTATATAAATTTGGAGTGAAGAAAGATCTTTTTAAAAATCTAACATCAAGGATAGAAAAACCATGAAGGAAAAATTTGCTAAGTTAATTACACGAAATGGAAAACTCCTAGATAACAACCACCAAAAAAACAATTACAATCAAAATTAAAGAGTAAACAACAAAGTAGGAAACATTTTTCGCAACATATGTGACAAAAAATCCTTAATATTTAAATCACTTTTAAACATTAATGGGGAAAAGACGAACATCCTAGAAAAACAGGCAAAATGCACTAAGTGGTAATTCAGAAAAGAAGGAATTGGAATAGTCAATGAACATATGAAAAAATATTCACAAGTATCACAAATAATATTCAAATATTCCAAAAATATTCACAAACCTCATAAATAATCAAAGCAATTAGAATTCAAATAAAACATTTTGTTATCTAATCGGCAAATAATTTTAACAGTTTGCAGTGTTAACTTTAATAGTGCAAGGGGAAAAATCACATTCATGTTAATACCAGTAGGGTGTAAATTAGTACAGTTCTGGGCAACAATCTGACAGAATGTATCAAAGGCCTAAAAAATGGGCACTGCTTTTGAAAGAGCAATCCCATTTTCAGCAAGTAAAGAAGTAACTGCGGATATATGAAGGGCCCTCATCACAAAGACATTCATCACAGTGTTGCTCCTAACAACGACACGCTAGGGGCAACATACATATCCAACAACAGAGAACTGTTTATCTTTCTACGATCTAATACAATGGAATCCCTACAATGGAATCTAAAAAACATACATGTTTAATTATATATTTATTTCTTTTGATAAAGGATTGGAAAGATATACTCTAAAATGTTAACAGTGGTTATTTCTGGATATATGGATACTGTTTTCTTCTTTTTTTTCTTTTACTTACCTGTTTGTCTAGGAAAAAAATTTTTAGTAAAAAGAATAAAAATTATATTAAAACACTTAACATTATTGGAAAATTCATATTGTAAAGTGACTTTCTGAAAAGCTGTTCCAAGTCCACATCTGACCACGATAAATTCCATACACTTTTCTTCAGTTCTCACTGCCTTAGTCCTGTTTGCCAGAATAGCATTTCTCACAGGCGCCTCTGCCTGGGAGACTGTTTCTGTTTGCCCCACTCGTTGAGAAATCAACCAATTCTACCCGGCACAGGCTCTGAAGGGATGCCGGGGCAGGAATGGTAGTAAGTGGGTAAAACTACGCAGGAGCAAATGATTCAAAAGAAGGATGGACACCAGCTAGACTGAGAGATTTAACTATATGACCAATCAGAAATGAATGCCTCAAAGGTATTATCATTCAAAGGACAAAAACATCTTATGATTGTAGGGCTCTCCATTATTTTATGTACTGAAACATCACTAGGGGAAAAATACACAGTGCACTTAATAGTGGGAGCTAAGTTTTAAAGTTATATAAAGCAACTATCACCTATCAATAAAAATAATCATAAAAATCCCTTAAATCACCAGCAAAGTACAGAAATAGCATATCTCAGTGAGTCCCACAGTGCCAGTCTAACCTTCCACACTAGAACGGATCATTCTTTCTTTTGCTGAGCTCCAGATGAAAAGCAAGTAGGATTAAATACAATCAGACTCAGTGTGAGGGGCATTTGGGACTTGAGGCAGACCAGCGGAGGAAGGAGAATATATAAATGTCTTCCATCTCAGGTTCACTTAGAGGCACGTGTTCACCGAGTGAAATGGCAGGCAGAATTGCCCTTGCTCTTCACCAGTATGTGTTTTCCCTTTGGCAGAGCAGGTAGCAGAATTTGCAGGAGTTAAATACATGTATGATGAGGAAGCCTCTGCTGTAAGTGAAACACGCCATGCAGTTTCCTTCCTACTCCCCGTGGCAGTTAGTGTGGTGGGCTCCTCGCTTGCATTCCACCCTCACTCACCGAGTACCAGCACTACAGTTTGGGAAACCGACTTCAGCTGGAAGGATATTACTGGTCTAAGCATAACTCTATTTCTCTTGCCACTGGTTGGTTCAGGAGGAGGCATGTGAATCAAATCTGACCAGGAAGTCTACTGGAAGATTCTAGGAAAGTTTTACTCTGCTCTTAAAAAGGACCAATGGGAAGTCAGTCTCTCCCTCTCCTGCCACATGAGAATGTGGAGGCACGTAGCCTCAACTGCTACTGGCAGCCACCCTACAACCACGAGGGGAACCCGCTCTAGGAATAGACCCCCGCAAACAACAGAATGGAGAGAAAATTCAGGTTCTTGATGCCATTGCTGAGCTGCTGAATTAACCAACCCTGAAATCATTCCTACCTATAGAACCCCTGCTCTGTGAGCTAAAAAGTTATCTTATTGTTCAAGCTAGTCTGAGTTGGGTTTTCTGTTATTCACAACTGGAAGTATCCTAAATAGATACATAACCAGTAGAACAGAACCAGTCTGGATACCCTATAGTTACACAATAAAGTTCTAATATGAGAATATATTTCTCAGAGAACAAATAACACCACTGGCTTGGGAAACACATGTCATGTCAATATACAAAGATTCCACAGAAGAAAGAAACCCAGCTCCCTCTCTCCTTCCATCAAAGATGCCTTTAGACAGAGGGATTTTTTTTTTTTTTAATCTTTTGTTTATTGCAGTAACATTGGTTTATAACATTGTAAAAATTTCAGGTGTACATCATTATACTTCTATTAGACAGAGGGATTTTATTAGTTCCGGTATAATTACCTGACTGAAGTGGACTGCGATTCTGCAAATAGAACTTATATCCTCCTGGGGCCGCAGTTTCAAAAACACCTTCTGCAACTTCACTGAGTGGCCACTCCAGCTTCCTGGCATTGCTGACAGCCTGGCTAGAAGCGAGTGTGATTCCCTATGACAAACAACAACATCATTCGAGGTATAATCACAACAGAGTTTTTACAGAACAAGATAATGAGGCAAAACCCCACTGCCTTCGTGTCAAATCACCTAAGATTTCATTAGCATTCAAAATTTTCTTCTAGTGATTTAAAAGTAGGTTTTGGACTTTTTTTTCTACAAAGATTCCAACTTCGTGAATCTCTGTAGGACAGAAACTCAAATGCCAGAGAAGTTTGATCCATTTAATATCAAACGTAATCTCTCCTAATTTTAAAGACCTAGTCAGAGAAATCTTCATCTCAACTTTGGCTCTCCGGCTACCTATTTAAGACGTTTTGTTTTTACCTTTGCTTTTTATTTTTATTTATTTTATTTTATTTTATTTTGTGAGGAAGACCAGTTCTGAGCTAACATCTCTTGCCAATACTCCTCTTTCTGCTGAGAAGGACTGGCCCTGGGCTAACATCCATGCGCATCTTCCTCTACTTTATATGGGATGCTGCCACAGCATGGCTTGACAAGGGTGCGTTGGTGCGCGCCCAGGATCCGAACCTGCGAACCCCGGGCCGCCAAAGCGGAACCTGCAAACTTAACCGCTACACCACCGGGCTGGCCCCTATTTTTGCTTTTTAAACAAAAAAATTTAAACTACCAAGGCATTCTTTATTTAATCAAAGTACCTAAAAATGTTCACTCATGCCTTCTGATAAGGCCAGCCTCTCTCTGCCTCCAGTCTTGTCAATCCATCATCCACGCTGCAGTCAGAATAAAGTTTCTGAAACACACCCTACAGTCTATTCTCAAGACAGCAACCCCTCTACTTAAAACCCTCCACGGCTCTTCATTGCACTCAGGGATGGCTTATAGTGGCCTGAAAGGCCCAACACAATCTGACCCCATGTCATTTCTGCCCCATCTCCTCCCACTTTGCCCTCGCTCTCTCTATTCCAGCCATACTGGCCTCCTTGCATTTTCTTGAATGTGCCAGCGCTGTCGGAGGGCTTTTGCACAGGCTATTCTCTCTACTTGGAATGCTCTTCCCCAAGATATCCACACGGCTAACGCCCTTATTTCCTTCAAGCCTTTGCTCATATGTCACCTCCTCACTGACACCTACCCTCAACACCCTACTTAAGATGAAAACCAGTCATCTGTTCCATACTCCCAATCCCTCTGACTCTGCTCTATTCTTTCCCCATAACAATGATCACCTTTAAGATAACATATCATGATTTCTTTATTTATTATTCATTGTCTGTCAGGCCCTGGACCCTCTCCCACCAGGCATAGATTTTTGTCTGTCTTGTTCACCGGTTACCCAAAGTTCCTGGAACAATGCCTGGCACACAGCAGGCACTCAATAAATACTCGCTGCATGAATAAATAATGTAATAAATAATTTAATACATATGCCATTTCACATATTTGTTAACATATGCAAACTAAATTCCTAGATGTGAAACCACAAGGTCAAAGAGTAAATGCACTAATTATTTTGATACTGCCAAGCCAAGGTTGTACCATCTTACACTCTTATTAGTAATGTATGAGAGTGGCAGTTTTCTAACCTCCTTCCTAACACAGTGTGTTACCACACTTTTTGCCAATCTGATAGGTGATAAACGGCAGCTTGGAAGTTGAACATCTCTTTCACTGTTTAAGACACATTTCTAATTTCCTTTCTGTGAACTGTCTATTGATACTTTTACCCTTGTTTCTTTTTTAAATTAAGTTGTTGGTCCTCTTCTTTGTAATGTACAGGAGTTCTATTCAACTTGTTTTTCTTTCTGTTCCACAAACCGAATAGCACAGAAGGTACCTTTCCTTCATCAGAGATATTTTACTACCCAAGTCTCTCAAGGAAGACCCGCAGTGAAGCTGCCAAGCTATTCTCCTCCACCCACACGACCTCTGGCACCTGCAGTCCCACCAATCAACATTTGACTTGAGCTGGTTAAATGCTGATGACACCAAGATGGTTTTGCTCTTTCTTCTCTCCTTGATTTAAATTTGGAAAGTAAAGAAAAGAAAGATAAGGAGAAACATGAAACTCTCATATACACTCAATCACCAAATCCTATCAACTCTACCTCCTAAACATCTCCCAAATCCATCCGCTTCTCTCCGCCTCCCACTACTAGCACGTTAGCTAAGGAGCTGCTGCTCACTCACTGTATTACCCTTTGAGCTAGTTCCCTCACTTCCAGTCTCGCTCCTTTCCAACCAAATCTCCATGCTCTAGCCAGGTGGACTCTTGTACACCACAAATACTATGTCATTCCCCTGTTTAAAAATGGCTTCACTCTGCTTTTGGAATCAAGTCTAAACCGTCCTAAGATGATGTGGCCCCAGCCTGCTTCTCCAGCCTCAGCTCTACCCACTCCCTTCTTCACACACTAAGCTCCAGCCAGACTGCTCTACTCCCAGTTCTCTGAGTACCATGCTCCCTCTCACCTCCAGGCCTGTACACATGCTGAGGATACTCATCTCACCCTCCCACTCTCACCCCACTCACCTGGCTCAGATGTCACTTTTGGGAAGCTTTCCCTGAAATCTCACCTGTCTGACAACAGGTTGGGAATTCCTCCTGTGTTCCCACATCCCCCTGTTCTTATCCCAATCTTAGCACCTATCACACTGTATTTTTATTGTCTCTTTACTTGTTTCCCCCACCAGACAGGAAGCTCCTTAGGCCAGGGAACATGCTTCACTCTTTATTGTATCCTCAGGACCTAACAAGGTACATGGTATACAGTAAGTCACAATAAATATCTGTTAAATGAATAAATTAGTGAGAGACATAGAGTGAGAAAGAGAAAAACAAATATACTAATATGTTAAATCTGAATAGTCCTTTCCATCTACAAAACACTTTTACAGATATTTGATCCTCATAAAAACTTCCAACTCAATATCATTATTATCTTAACATGAGTTAACAGGAATATAAGATCAAATGGCCAAAATAACATCTAGCATGAGGTAGGTTTGCTCAGTAGATTCTGAGTGAAAATTAGTTACGCCTATCTTGCTATGTATTTGGGCCCAGTGACATCATATGTAGCACATAGTAACCATTCAATAAGCGGTAGATACTATTACCATAATAGGTGCACAATAACTTGAACTTCTGAATGAATGAATGCAGTGTATGCAAAGCCTTCTTCTCTTTCTCCTTAAAACCTTTTCAGATTTTCCTCTGACTAGCAATGGCTATAACAGCCCAGTCCAAGCCTAACAGTCCACTCGAAAGAAAATATTTCTCTGGATGGTGATCAGGACCTGACCAGACCAATGACTGTGGCCCTTCTACCTCTCGAGGTTCAGTCACTCCCCTTGAGGAGTCTTCCTTCAGAGCTGTCTCTAAGTCTTGAGCTTGATTCCTAAACACTGAGGAAGAACGTACGCCATCCCAAAGCCAGCCCTCAGGCAGGGTGCCCAGGCAGGTTTGCTTTTTTTTTTTAAATAGAAAACATTATGAAACTAATCACTAAAATGCATCAATTCAGCAGTCATCATACCTAAAGCTGTATCAGTGATCTCAATAAACGGTACAGCCAAAAATCTGCTGGAATAAAATGATATTTACCATGAAATCATTGCCAAGCTTATAATCTCCAACGCCATAATTGTAAGTCAGTTCTGCAACAAAATGATCATCCTCAGGTCCAAATCCCACCATTGTTTTACTCCATTTCCCATCATAAGGCCTAGAAAAATGAAAGTAAAGGAACCCAGTGATCACAGACAAAATCTGCCTTAGGCCTCCCCTAAAGAACTACTGGGACAGAGAGGTAGGCAGTCCCTTCTGGTCCTCTAAGTACCCATAAGGAAGAGATGACCTCAGCTGGTGCTAGGAGCAGCTATAGACAGTGCTCATGGGTCCCATCACCAAAGGCTCCAAAGATCATCTGTTTGGCACTTACTTGAGAGAAAGATTTCTTTACCTTTTTCTTTTGGTGTGGAAGATTGGCCCTGAGCTAACATCTGTTGCCAATATTCCTCTTTTTGCTTGAGGAAGACTGTCCCCAAGCTAACATCTGTGCTGGTCCTCCTCTATTTTTTTGTATGCGGGACACTGCCACAGCGTGGCTTGATGAGCAGCATGTAGGTCTGCACCTGGGATGTGAACCCTGGACCACTGAAGCAGAGCATGTGAACTTAACTACTATGCCACTGGGCTAGCCTCTCCTTTACCTTTTCTTCAAATAGGGGACAGAATCCTACAAAGACAGTTCTCCAAACTGACTTTAATTTATTTTTTTGTATCATCATCAACAAGCATACAATTCCCATCAGGCCTTGGAATTTTCCAGCTTGCCAGGGCTACTAAGCTTAACATACTCAGTAAGATATTGCTTCATGCAGAGCACATACTTATTTGTGGTCCTGAAGTTGCCTCCCTAATTCACTGCCTCCCTAATTTATTCTGCTGCCTTATACTCATTTTGAGAAATTGCCTTCTGCTCTCCAGGGGTATTCAAAGCCTAAAGGAGATTTTAAGAATCAAGGTGTCATACCCATTACAGGTAGCTTTGCAGCCTTCTTCAAATTCCTCATGCCGCAGAATCTGATAAGAGAATGAGAATAACTTGTAAAGTTTTACTAGTACCGCACACACAGCAAATTTAGCACAAACTAACATGTCAAAACACAGACACTACAATTTGTAAGGTTTACTTGTACACCAAACAAAAGATAATGTTTTATATCTTTCCCAGGCCAGAAGTAGTAGAGGTAAGGAAGAAGCCAAGGGTCAGGCAACCAAGCAAAGTTGTGAAATCTATTTACATTGGGAAGCAGTGCTGTGTAGCAGGAAAAAAAAAAAAAAAAGTGAGGCCTTCAGCATTGTAGAAGTCTGATTTGGAATTCTGGCTGTCACCTAGTAGATGTGTAACTCTGAGAACGTTGCTTAGGATCTGAGTCTCCTAATATGTTGTGAAATCCTAATATGTTGTGAAAAGAGATAATTTATTAAAGCATTTGACACATAACCTAGTACACAGTAGGCTCTCAATGTGTTAGTTTCTATTTTTCTTTTTGATTCCCACTGCTACTGCTCCAGTACAAGCTCCCATCATTTCTCTCACGGACTACAAAAAATCATCTTTATTGATGTTTCCTTAATACCACCATAAAATTATGTCCGTAAAGCACAGCTCTAACCACATCACTGCCCTGTTCTAAAATGTAGGTCTAACCACATCACTGCCCTGTTCTAAAATGTAGGTCTAACCACATCACTGCCCTGTTCTAAAATGTAAGAGATCTTCCTACTTACTGTGGCATAAAATCCAAATTCCTTAACATAGTATTCAAGATACTACCAGAAGCACTCCCAACCTATCTGTCCTGATATCCCAGCTCCTCAAATTCAGCTAAGTAATCTAAGCTAAAGGCACATAAAACTAGTGGTGTTTCCCAAACACACCTATTCAGTTTTTCTATATACTCCTCCCTCTAATCTTGGTCTGTGGAAATCCTAGCTATCTTTAGAGGTCAACTCAAATGAGGTCCCCATGAATTATTTCCTCACCACCCAGGCTACAGTTAAATCTCTCCTTCTGTTGTATTTTTATAATAATAATAGCTAACTCTTATATAATACATACGATCTGTCAAATACTACACATATAATAATGTGTTGAATCTGCACAACACCTCTTTAGCCAATGAGAAAACACATTGAGGGAGAGCTTTGTGGTTTTCTATTACTTATCAGATTTCGACTTCCATTACTGTTAGCTATGTGCAAATCCAATTCCTGCCCCCACCCCAAGGCCAGAAGCTTTAACTGAAGACAAATACCAGGGTCATTTTCATCCTTGTCACCAAAGCTCAACACAGTACCGGGAAACATAGAGGATATTTTTTAAATGACTGATGAATTCAGGTAACTCCCTTTGCACTCCACGTTTTCTGCTCTGTCTCTACATTAAATTATACTCTTGCACCTCTAAAGCCCTTGCTTATCAGGAGATCTCCAGTGGCTTCCACCTGTGTATGCCACCCAGGTGACCCCTGCAGAATCACAGCTGCTCAGGGCTGGAGAAAGGCTGCTTCTGGTGTCGGCAAGGACGGGTTCTGACTTCACACTTACATCTGGAGTGTTGAGAGGAGAGTCGGAGCATTCACTGGGAGAGATGCAAAAAACTATCCAAAAGAGACCATTCAAACCAGCCCTGAGGGAAGCAGAACTCGGAATATGCTGATTACCTAAACCGAAAAGCTCCAAACCAGAAACGACTGAGTTATTGATCATTCGAAGAGTATTATATAACTTTTTGTTTGTTTACTCTCTTTCCTACGAGACTGGAAGCTCCACAAGGCAGGAGCTCAATAAACATTTGTTAATGAACTTAAATGAAAGAACGTGCGTGGGCACATCGTCTGCGACCACTAAGGGTGAACCCCCTTTCAAAGGCCGTCTAACCCAACCAGCGACTCGCAACGCTTCCTGAAGCTGAAAACCCAACAGGGCTAAATGGCTAAGGTTGGACTCCCCGGTTCTGGCTGCGATTCACGGCACACCCATTTCTGCGCTCCCTCGGGCAGGTGCGGCTCAGCCCCTCGTGCCAACCTCGCGCGCCAGCCCCTCTCGGCCCCATCTGCACCTTCATCCCCAGGACATCACGATAGAAACGCGCCGTCTCGAAGCGGTTTCCCACTTTGAACACGAAGTGCAGAGCTCGCCGAGTCGCCATGACCAGCAGCGCCACAAACCGGTCACGCGTACAGCACCGCACCGCCCACAGATGACGCATGGGGGCCGGTGACGTCACTGGTCGCCGCCGGCACGCTTTCGTGACGTAGCCCACGGCGCCGAGAAAAATGGCGGCGCTAGTTAAGCGCATGGGGTGGGTTACGCGACCGTTGCTGCCGATGGTTCAGACTTGGGACCTGAACCCGCGGCGCTGGGTGCGGGCGCTGCGGCGGAGCCCCGTGAAAGTGGTGTTCCCATCCGGACATGTGGTGGAACGGAAGCCCGGTCCTGGGAAGCAGCCCCGGAAGGCGGCGGCTGAGGCCGGTCCCCACGAGCAGCGACTGAAGCAGCCGCTTCAGGTGCCCCCATCCCAGACGCCCAGCACCTGGGAAGAGTCCGGGCTTCGCTATGATAAGGCTTTACCGGGGGATAAAAGGCTGAGGTGATGTGTTTCTGAGGCTTGTCGAGTATTCCCGTTTCTCTTCCCGCCTCACTGCGGGACCTTAACCTCTTTCCTCCTGTTGGAGGACTTCTTCCAGTACAACCCAATGGTTTCCATTATGCACGGAGGGTCCAAGTGTCTTCCTTGCAATTCGTTTGTTTCTGTCTCTCTGAAGCTCTTCATGTCTGTTAGAACTAGGTGTGTTTCCGTAACAGGGATGTTGGTAATTACCCATCTTTTTGTTTCCACCCGCAGCAGTGTGATGACAATAGTTAAGTCCAGGCCATTTCGGGAAAAGCAAGGGAAGATCCTGCTGGAAGGTCGCAGGCTGATTGCAGACGCTCTCAAGGCTGGTGCTGTGCCAAAAGTTTTCTTCTTTAGCCGTCTGGACTACATAAAGGAGCTGCCCGTTGATAAGCTGAAAGGTGTCAGCCTCATTAAGGTGAAATTTGAGGACATCAAGGATTGGTCCGATCTAGTAACACCACAAGGAATAATGGGTCAGTGGTTATACAGTATGTCACTCGTAGTAGAGACCTAAGATTTATTCATACCTGTCTTAGGGCACCAAATTTTATTTAAACCAAATTCAAAATGTTATTGCCTAAAGCTTTCTTAAGACACAGAAAAAATACAGTTCTCAAATCTGTGCATCTTATAGTATTTTCAGTGGAAACCCAAGCCAGTGTTTTGTTATCATTTGTATTATGACTCTTTATAGTCTCTAGGAATAACTACTGTTCCTCAAACCTTATATTTTTTTAGGTCACTTTTTGGACCTTTAATGTCCAACTAAAAATGAAGAAAATGTATACCAAAAGATTTAGCCCTCCATTTCCACAAAACCTCTGCAAGTGTGGTGATATCTGTCTGTCATTCACCTCCTCCTTCTAGAAGCAGATCTGAGCAGTAAGCTGCAAGTTATTGCCCTGTTTAGCCCATTGAACAGGAAACCTTGTCTTTATTTGGTTGAATCTAACTTGAGATTCTAATAGACTGTGATGTCTATTAACACTTGGAAAGTCTTTTTTCTAAATCTGGAAAGACTAAATTCTGTATACCTTTTGACGTTGTAGTTATATTTAAGATCTGAGGATTGAATGGCACTAAGTGTAGAGGTTTCTCTTGGACAGTAAGGGACAATTGGGCCAGGGGGAGTTATCTTCAAGATTCTAAAGTTTAGCCAGGGCGCCTCACACCAGTTGTGCTTGTGTATTCCCTGTAGTGGGCTCACGGTGTGGCTGTTAGTTGGGAAAGGAAGTTCTGGGGACCATCTGTTGTTTCTATAACCCAGCAAGTCACAGAGATCTGTGCTTCTGCACTCAGAATTCTCCGCTAGGATGGGGACTTGGACTACTAAAGTCTTCCACTCACTCTGAGTAACTGTACTCCCATTAGCTACACCTCTAATGGCTACTCCGTGCTACAGTGAAAGTATCACTCATTTTACCATGCTTGCCACTTTGGGCACGTGTGCTAACAGTAGCCTGGACTTCTGTAGCCCCCTTCGTCATTATGACTGCTTTCATTATTTCATGGCTTTTAAATATATATATTATTGGGCTGGCCCCGTGGCTTAGCGGTTGGGTGCGCGCGCTCCGCTGCTGGCAGCCCGGGTTCGGATCCCGGGTGCGCACCAACGCACCACTTCTCCGGCCAGGCTGAGGCTGCGTCCCACATGCAGCGACTAGAAGGATGTGCAGCTGTGACATACAACTATCTACTGGGGCTTTGGGGGGGAAAAATAAATAAATAAAATCTTTAAAAAATATATATATATATTATTTAGCTTATCCTTATCATGTTTTATTTCAGATTTGAGGAGGGGGGTAAAGGGAGTAGTAGTTAAGATCTAGCACTAGCTGTCAGACTTCAGGCACATCTCTAAAATCCAGTAATAAGTGGGGCCTCTAGATGTAGAGTTCTTATCTACAGCCGTTCAAGTAGAAATTAAAGGACTTCTAAGGTCCCCTGCTCCACTGAATGGTCTTGTCGCTATCTGTGACTCTTAAGTGCAGGATATTTTTACAGCACACAGTTGCCTGATACTATTCCATTGCCTTCATTGATGGGTTAGGTGCAGGTATTTATGTGTTCTTGGTGTGAATAAACTGGAATAGCCTGTGAGAAGGACAATTTGACAGTATCTATTAACATTAAGAGCGCCACACTCCATTTATCCATTTCACTTATAGGTGTTTTTCCTAGGGAAATATGTGGACATATGCACAAAGAGTCATACAGGGATGTTCATTGCAAGGCTGTTTATAATAGGGGAAAACTGAAAATAATCTAAATGTCAGTCAGTTGGAGAAGAGCTAAATAAACATGGTACATTCATGTTACAAAATAACGTGCGACTGTTAAAAGAGTAAGTAGCTCTGAATGTACTGACTTGGTAAGTTCTCCAAGATGTCTTGTGTTATAGAGTTAAATAAGTTGATTACAGAATAATACATAGAGTATGATTTTTTAAGATAAAAGAAAAAAGCACCTGTATATGGGTAGATGTTCATATATGTGGGTAGATGCATGAGCAGGTCCTGAAAGGATACATTCCAACGTCGAAAACAGTTATGGGGGGTGTCACTGGTAGGACTTGATGTTTGAATTTTTTCAGTCAGAATGTATTCATGTGTTACTTATGTAATTAAGAATATAGAAATAATGACAAATAAGTGAAAAGTCAAATTATTCCCCATGCCCACATCAGACAGGTGAACCGCCTGTTTTGTTTCCTCAGGGATTTTTGCCAAACCTGACCATGTTAAGATGACATACCCAGAGACTCAGCTTCGCCATTCACTGCCCTTATTGTTGATTTGTGACAATCTCCGTGACCCTGGGAACCTGGGGACGATTCTGAGATCTGCTGCTGGGGCAGGCTGCAGCAAAGTATTACTCACCAAGGGTAAGAGCACCTGTTACTGGGTGGATTGAGTGGCCGTTTGTAAGTGAGCTGGCCTAATGGACAGTCATGCGTGGATTTGAATCTTGTATCTGCCCCATATTAGCTATATGTCCATGAGCAATATTCTGAGTGTCAGTTTCCTCATCTGTAAAGTGGGCATGACAGAATCTACCTGGTAGGGTCACTTTGCGGATTAAGTGAGATGATGCACATAAAGTACTTAGCACTGTGCCTAGCACACAGTAAGTAATTCAGCAAATGTTGATTATCTTTTAAAATTATTTTGACACCTGCTAGATTATTAAAGAAACAACTTAAAATCAATCAGGGAAAGAAATAGATGCCAGCTTTAACATTTGGTTTCAAGTCCTTTATTTAAAGATCTTGAGTTCCCAAATTGTTGGGCATATGAGACCGTTGTATCTCTTGACATTCTGAATCCTATGAAAGGAACGATGTCTGTCAACAGAGTGTGATTAGGAAATCATGATACATTTCCCTAGGCCTCAGGATGGGTCAAACACCCCACACACACAAATTAGCCTCATTACATTTCTGTCTCCTCTCATCAGAAATGGGGATTAGTAGGCTTGGTTCTAAACAGACTTGCCTAACAGTGGGGACATGCCTAAAATGCCTATTACAGCTTGTGGGAGGGTGGGAGGGAGAGGATCATTCATCAGAAACACTCAAGCTGCCATTCCGTGTAAACTGATAGTGGCACCCATTGCTGAGACTTGCCTAAATTGCTCCTTTCAGCTCTTCCTCCCAGTCACAACTTGTTGGAGTGCATTTCTCTGCCGGTGTGAGAGCTAGATGCTGGGGTTCCATCATCCATACCCCGCTTACCCGCCCTGTTGTCAAGAGCTCTAAGAGCAATTGTGGTTTTGGAAGTGTACCTATAGATCAGTGTGGTTCCCACATTGATGCTGGTGGCTGGTGTGTAAGAGGGAGGGAAAGAGTAGGGAACCCTGGGTGTGGTGCCCAGTATCAAGGACATGAGGATGAGGGAGAAATCTTATCTTTTCCCTTACTCCCTCGCCCCCAGCCTCTTGGCATACAGCCCAATTCCCATCTCTAGTTCCCTGCAGTGATTGGGAAAGCCTGTGGTTGGGGATACTTGTGGGCATTGTTACATACTCTGTGTCTAATTTTTCTTTTTAAATTTGGTTTGCCTACTTAATTTACCCTGAAGTTTGACAGATTAATTTTTTAAATAACTTGTAATGAGGAGACTCATGCTAACAAGTCAGGGGAGGGTGGTAGATATGTGGTCCCCTGGTCCTGCTGTCCCTCCCAGCCTGTGGTCCTGGGAAAGGCCAAGTATCTGCCAGCACATAGAAGTGGTTGGGCTTAGCATGTGACTGTATGTAAAAGAATAGTTCTTTTAGCCTTCTTACTACAGTGTGAGAGAAGCTGTGTGTGAGTGACAAGGCTGTTCCCTTGGTTCTCCCTGGATTATTGTAATTGCCTCCCGTCTCATTTCCCCATCTCTAGCATCTTCCCTGCTCCAATCCAAATTCAACGTTGAAGCCAAATGGGTCTTTTAAAAACGTAAACCAGATTCTGTCACTACTTGGCTTAAAATCCTTCAATGGCATTATATTGTCTTCTGGGATAAAATCCTAAACAACTCAGCTTGGCATACCCAGCCTCTTTTAAATTGGTCCTTGCCTGCCTCCCGTCTCAACTCTCATCACAGCCCCCTCCGTTAATGTGTCTGATCACCTTACTTACAGTTCCTGTGGCACTCTTCCCCTTCTGTAACTTTGTCCTCTGCCTGGGCCTTTCTCTGACAAGATCCTCCGGTCCTTCAGGATCCAGTTCAGTGTCATGTTCTCTAGGATGTTTCTCCTGATAGCTGTGCTTTGTACAAGAGTTTCTATTACCCTCTTCATGCTTCTTTTACATGAATTATTACTGATATTATAGTCATTTGTTTAAATATTGTCCCAACAACATTGCCCACTATACTACGAGCTCCTCGAGGTTAGGGACTTTAATGTTCTTTGCATCTCCCATACAGTGTCTGGCATATGTGTATGGTAAATGTTGAAGGGAGGGATAAAATTTGTTTCAGCACTAGCAGGAATTAATCTTATAGTCCCTTCGCTGGACACTGCCGTAATTGGGGAGGCAGAGGTCCCAGCTACCAAGAAGGTTACAATAGGACATTGTTTGTTTTATCTCCTGATCCAGAATTAATCTGATTTACTCTGAAGTCCCCTCATCTGGGAAGGTTTGTAATCTTAATTGGATCCTGTCTTTTATTTTCTAGGCTGTGTGGATGCCTGGGAGCCCAAAGTGCTGCGGGCAGGTATGGGTGCACATTTCCAGGTGCCCATCATCAACAATCTGGACTGGGAAACAGTGCCCAACTACCTGCCCACTGACACCCGGGTCTATGTAGCTGACAACTGTGGTCTTTATGCCCAGGCCCGAAGGTCTGATAAAGCCAGTGACCATGGCTGGGTATGTGACCGACAGCTCTTGAAGGGTCACAAGTATGAGGAGGAGGTGGATCTAGAAACTGAAGCCAGTAACGGCTGGCTCCCTGAACTTGAGGTCCAGAGTTATGATTTGGACTGGACAGAGGCACCGGCAGCTGTGGTGATAGGTGGGGAGACCCACGGCGTGAGCCTGGAGTCCCTGCAGTTGGCCGAGAACACTGGAGGCAAGAGGCTGCTGATCCCTGTTGTGCCTGGTGTGGACAGCCTAAACTCGGCCATGGCTGCAAGCATCCTGCTCTTTGAAGGGAAAAGACAACTGCGGGTAAGGGGAGAACACTGGAGCAGGGACAGGAGTTACCACTGAGAGGGGACGTGGCAGGCAGTCCTCGGTTTGAGGTTGTCTCCAGCTCCTCCTACATTGTTAGGAGGCTGGCAGAGGTGGTAACTGGCTTCCCAGGCCATATTCAGGAGGTAGGAGGTAGGCGTGATGCTATTATATGGTTATTGGAAAAATAAGAATTTCCATGAATTTCTGCTTATCTTCAAAAATAACAAAGGTCAAAATTCTGAGATCTCCTATCTCCCCACCAATTTTTAAATTTATTTATATATGTATATTTTATGTGTGTGACAACATAAATAGATGATCCACGTGGCTCTCTCTCTCTGTTTTTAAAAGTTGTCCACCATGGAGATTTTTGTGCCCAGAAGGTTCCTGAAGGCATCATCTTGGGCAGGGAAGACCATTCCCTCCACTAGCTGGTGGGTGTTTTGCAGTCATCAAGCACTGGGTATAGGCCAGGCGCAGTCACTCGTTTCTGATCATTGGTCAGTGGAAAATAAACTCCTGTGAAGTGCAGACCAGCAGATTACACCAAAAAGTTTTATTTCAGTGTGCTCAGTGGGTCTCAATGCCTGTCTTTTCGTCTTTGGCCTGGTGATGAAGATGTTGCTAAGAGATTAATGACTCAGGAAGCTAAAGGCTACAGGCGATGGCATTCAGTAACTAGCTGTTCTTTCAGCTTGCCTCTGTCAGTCTCTGCAATTGTTCGTTCAGGCCTTGACTTAAATAGCTTCTGTTTATATATAACATGATTTTTTTCTCCATTTCTGGTGAAACAGCTGGTAGAAATAGCTTAACTCATTAGGTGGTGGTATACCTTCTTAGCGCCTCTGCAGATAACTTTTTGAGGACTCTGTTCGGAAAAGGAGGAAACAGTTTTAAAATCTTCAGCTTAACTCTGTATCTGTCGGGAAGGCTGTACCCTTTTCACTACCTTCCTGCTGTTAGTCCTGCTTTAATTTTTTTTTTTTTAATTTTTATTTATTTATTTTCCCCCAAAGCCCCAATAGATAGTTGTATGTCATAGCTGCACACCCTTCTAGTTGCTGTATGTGGGACACGGCCTCAGCATGGCCAGAGAAGTGGTGTGTCGGTGCACACCCGGGATCCGAACCCAGGCCGCCAGCAGCGGAGCGCGCGCACCCAACCGCTAAGCCACGGGGCCGGCCCTAGTCCTGCTTTAAATAACACTTTTGGTTAAAGGTAATGACTTGAGTTACTTATTTACATTATTTGCTCCTCCTGCATAGAGGAAGAGAGTTGTTTAGGAAAATGCCAGTGTTCTTGATGCTGTGTGAATAGAGGGCTCCTGCAAGGGAGAGAGGCTGAGGTTCTGAGGGTGAGAGCTTGGGGCCCTTGGACCCCTAACACTGCAGCAAGACCCTGTTCTTCTCTTGAGCCCCCAGGGGACCAGGGCAGGCTGGATCCTAACTCACCAGGTGCCAGCCGGGATGTAGCCAGGGACATGAGGACAAGTGCAGATGGTCGTCACTGTGTTTGTAAGTCACTGTGGGAAGGAGGTGGGTGGGACTGGAGTAAGGGACTTAGTTCAAGCAGAGCTTTTGTAACCAGAGTTTGGCTGGAGTTGAGGACAGTGACGCCCGCAGTTCTACCACATCCTTTCTGTACAGCGGCTCCTGGAGTGGTTGGGATTCCTTGGGAGCGCTTCAGCTGCTCATTCCAGGGAGATCCAGTGAGTTGCCAGCATGCCCAAGAGAAACCATGGCCCTCCTTCATTTCCCCTTGGCTTCCCCAGCTCCCTAGTAAAACATTCTCGAGAGAGAACCAGAAGATCAAGCATGACTCATGCCCCAAGTGGCAGGGATTGCTTTGACATGTTTGAGGGGAGAGGTTTTTGCAGGAACAATCTCTTTGGTTGGCTATGCTGTCCTAGGCTGATCGGCCAGAACAGCTGCTCTGGTGCCCCACTCTGGTCTGGGCCTGCCCAGGGTCCTGCACAAATGTCTGAAGCAAGTGGCCCATGTTCTTGAGACCTTCCACCTCGTGTCAGCTTTTAGAAAGTAGAAGAGCCCACGTAGGCTGCGGCCTAGTCCACCAGCTTCACAGAGCCATAATGTGTGTCACACCAGCTGGCTAAATCTGGGAGGCAGCGCAGAGAACTGTACCACTCGAGTCTATTGACATTCAGTCTCTCAACACCTTGGAGAAGTGCTAAAGAAACAAGTTACTAAAAGGAAGCTTGTGCTTTTCCAGCATGAAACCAATCTCCTGGGATTTTTGTCCCTAGGTTATTGTTCCTGCTGATTTTTGTTACAAAATAAAAATCAGTGAAAGAATAACAAACCCTATACTTTGTCCCTGTTTTAGAAAAACAAAGCAATGCAAAACAGTATACCTGGCCAGTAATTCTAAGCCTATTTTGTCATCCTGAGTGTAAGAAGAAAAAGAAATTTACATCCCATTGACTTTATAGTTAATGGCTTATATACCATGCCTTGTGAGTTCCTTTTGTATTTTTGTGGGTATAATTTAGCAGAGGGGAGGGCAGATTTTCCTTTCTTGAAGACTACAGGGGAAGCAAGTGGTGGTGAAGTTCTTGTATGATGAGTGATATTGGAAAATCACTATCTTGAATTCTTCTCAATTTTGAGGCCAACATTTGTTCTGTCACCATTTCCCCAGGAAATAGGAATAAAAACTGAGAAGTATATGACAAGCAAAACACCACTTGGCTGAAAGAGAAGCTTTCAGAAGGTTGGCCAGGCTGGCCCTTGCCTTTGTGTTGAGTGTAGCTGTAATAAGATTTCTGCCACAAGGCGGCAGCCACGCCTCAAAACCACTCCCAACTCGGAAGGGAGGGTGAGGATTTCTCCTGGATTTAAGTTGTTGAAAAAGAGGATGGAGTCACATCTCCCTCCACCGCAGAGGGCATTTTACAAGCCATTTGTGCTCAGACGTGCTGAAGCTGGAGACCCCTCCACATTGTCACTCATTCTTTCGGCAGAATCTAAGGTATAGGAGGATATTGGACCAAAAACTAAGAAAATGGACATAAATGGGAAGTGGCTGCAGCAGGAAAAATTAGCACATTTCCCTTTGAATGGAGCCTCTGGAAAAGCATCTCTGGGCAAATGCTGATGTCCCCATGGACCTGGAACCCACGCTGAGAACTCACTGCCTCGTCCTTGGCTTGGAGCTTAAGGGCTGGAGGAGCTGAAACCTCCCCTTCCCCCAGTCACAGCTGCTGGCTCCTGGTTAGAATCGCAGTCATTAAGGCCCAGAGGATAAACAGACCTCTGGGGACTGTTTTCCACCAGTTTCACCAGGGACCTTCTACCACTTGCCTCCGAGTTAATAGCAACACCAGATGTCACCTCCATCCAAGCTGAGCTGATTTTAGCTCCACTTCTGTCATTCTGCCACACAAAGACCCCAGAAACAGCACTTCACCCAGGTTCTGGGGCTAGTGCTAAAAACCAGCAGCTGCCTTGCAGGCCCAGAGCTCCACTCTTGGCCAGGCCACATCTGCCCTCCTGCAGGAGCAGACCTGATTGGCTCACCTTTTAAAATGTTTTTTTTAAAGGAAACACTCATGTAGACACCTTTAAACTCCAAGATCATAATCATATTTTCTCGATTTTCATCAATGAATGCACAAAGGTAATAAGCTAGAAGCCAACTTAATGGATGAGCTGACTTATTGCTCTGGGTGACTTAGTCTCTGAACTAGGCAACCACCTTCCATTGGAGCAGCTGAGATAGCAGCTGCAGGATGAGTCCTTGCTGAAAGCCTCAGGAAGCCAGGGCTGATGCTCAAAGGTCAGGTATGACTGACAAATCAGAATACATTACAGATGGTATCAGTTCTGTTCTTATTACATTTGTTTTGTAGGGAAGAGCTGCTTTTTTCAGTTGAAGCCTCATAGTTGGAGAGGGCCATCACCAACGCTGCTGCTTCCTCAAAATGCAAGAAAGGAACAAAGGTTGAAGAGGAGACATGGCTGCAGCAGGGTCTGGCCTCCCAGCCTCCCTTGCACCTGTGATGGAATTGAGGGCACATACTGACCACAAGCCAGCAGAGGGGCTCTGGATTGGTTGGATACTCCCATATCCTCTGATGTCCAAAGCAGATTTATTTTTTTGGCCCTGGGTCCTAAGATCATGCCTCCCTCCTGTATCCTAGTTCTAGCCTGTGTGGGCCTGAGCACCCAGGAATCCAGACTTGAGGCTGGCTCACTGGCCTATAGGCCTGGGGACAGAGGCTTTCGTAAGTTGGCACATTATTTAATGGAAATCCAGCAGTCCCTCAGAACAAGTCCTACCCAACTCTAAACACATTTCCTGGCTTAGGAAGTTTTCCAAGACGCCAAGGGGGTGAGACATACTTAATGCCTTAAAAACGAAGCATATTTACTTCATGCTTTCACATGTACAGTGTACCTAGAACATCCTATTGTCATATTTTCCTACATAGAAGGCGTTTTTTTCCTGGAAAATATTTCACCCTTTGCACATGCAGCATTAGCACCATTCGTCCCCAAAGAATTTTCCCTTGAGCAGCCTGCTTGGAGGAAAGCAGGGGGTGCTCCTGTCCCTGTGGTCCCTTTGGTATCAGCAGAGGGATGTAGGCTAAGTGCTCACTTCAGCACAGCTGCTTGAGGGCCAACTTGAAAGAGCCTCCTGAGCTCCCGTCCTCTGGGTTGGTCCTCAGCTCAGAGCAGCACCCGAGAGAAGCTGCAGAGGGCGCTGCTGAACCGCCCCACAATCTGGAAAGCAGTCGTGTTCAGGTCCTACGGGGCAAGCATGGGGCTGCCCAGGCTGGCCAGGGGAAGCGACAGTGAACAGAATGCGTGCACGCCGCGCCTGCGTGACTAGAGGGGCCTGGACCAGACACTCCCACTACAGTTTCAAGTGTACAGCGTGTCCACACGTGTCCACGCACACACGCGTGTGGTGTTCTCCCTAAGGTGACAGTGTGACACCATATTAGATCCAGTTGATCTGTTCCTGGACCCTATCCTGCCCTGGCTTTACAGTATTGCAGAATTCAGTTTGTTGTGCTGGAACAAGGCAGCAGGAGAGAACAACTTCTGATTGTCTCTAATTAGGCAACAGGAAAAAACAAAGTCTGGCTGAAAATTACCAATTGAACCTTGGCTGATGCCAAAAAAGCAGTGCTGGCTCCCATTGATTTCAAGGACACTTGGTGGGAGGGATGGCAGTAGGCCACCTCATCCTGGAGAGGAAGCTGGTTTTCAGTCGCCCTCTGGCACTTGCAGCTGCCACTGTAATACCAATCCCGAACACACACCCTTTTTCTTAAGCAGATCTTTATTGTTGGGGACAGGTAAAAAATCCCACATTTCTTGTAAAATGGGTGGAATTGGATCTGGAAACCATTGTGGTGAACACAAATCTGGAACCACAGGGTGGCATTTTTACAGCCACCGTCCTGCCTCATCCTGCAGGGCATGGTTTCCCTTGCTGCTGGCGGAAGCCCTTGAATGTGTCACAGCTGGTGTTTTAACCTGCTTCCAATTAGCAACAGGAATTTTAAGGTATTTTGGAGCTGCTTAGTGGAAATTAAGAAACCACCCACTTTGTCTGCATTGATAACCCTTAAGATCTCATGCTGTGGAGACAGGGATTTTGCACTGGCAAAGGATCCTCCCACAGTGTCGTCACCCCCCCCCCCCCGTTAAGTTGCCACTATGTAGACCTAAAGCACCTTTTTAGTAAACCTCCCCACTCAACCCACACACCCACTCTAAAAGACGAATTCTGGCTCGTCTCCAGTTGACTTAGTGGCAGGTAGTGCAGTCAGTCCTGTACGGGTCCTAGAAGGATCACAGATGACCTCATTTTTCTGCTGCAGTGACTTGGAGTGACTCCTCACGGGACTTGGTTCCTTCTGGCCCAGAAGATAGGTAGCTGCTGAGAGAAACCACCTTTCCTCCAAGGCCATCACAACAGAGGGCACTGACAGAAATCTTGCCCATCTTCCAAACGAGGGTGACCTTGCCTCCCCACCCACGCCACCCCCCAAAGGGAGACACTGGTAGGGTTCCCAAAGAAGCCCCCCAGTCCAAGGATGGAGCTAGGTTTGTGGGTCTCCAACTACTGCCCCATTCTTCACAGGGCAATAGTGAACCTGTGCATGGTTCCTTGTGTTTCTCCAGCTGGCTTCAGGCTTCAGAGCACTTGCTCCCCAGTAAGGAAGGAAATGAGCACGAGTGTCCACAAAGATGTCTGTGATCTGAGAATCCACCCCACAAGGGCAAGTCAGACCAGAAGAGATGGCACCCAGAGCTCCAGCAAGGGTCTGCCTCTAGAGCATCCCGGCGTCTGGAGGCTTTGACAGGTGTCCATGTTAGGTCTGGGCGTTCTTGAAAATTCTGAAACATAGCTACCAGGTATCCAGTGAAAGTCAAGAGAAGCTCACATGTCCCACTCCCCACTGCCCACCCCCAAGAGAGCACAGCACCACAAGCAAAAAGATTTTTGTTATGAAGGACAGGAAAGGCCAAGTGGTTGATAACGTCCAGAGATGCCTGCTTTATTTCTTACTAGGTGATTGATTGCATTTCAGGCTGGTGACATCAAGTAACAGTCTAATTACCAACTACTGTTGTACCTCTGAACTACAAATCAACAATCCAATTCAGCAAGGAGCAACGGTGTTGACAGCTAATTGCGGGGCTGGGTTTTCCAAATAAGTGGTCTTGACTGGCAGAGTGCTGTGAGTGGAGCCAAGGGTAAGGCCTGGGATTGTTTTAAATTCCATGACACCTGATTGAGATAGGCTAAAACCCTGCGAATCTCTAGGCCGAAGCCCTCCATCCCAAATTGTAAGTACACAGCTGTTGTTATTTTCCTTTTTGTGGTCAGTTCAACCCAAATAAGGAGCTGACCTACCTGAGCCTAGCAAAGTGGATGCAAGGCCTACTCTTCGTTGACATGTCCTCGCCCTCCTTCCCACCCTAGGGCACAGCTCTTTCTGCAGGTTCTTAGCAAAAAGCTAGGCTTCTGGTCTCTCTTTCTCTCTTTAGTGCTGCTTTGAAGAGGGAATGACAGAGGTAACCAAAGTTGGGCACAGGCACCTCAGCAGAGCTCCCACTGCCCCAGGCCCGGAGCTGAGCCGAGTTAGAGGTCTGCGCTGGTGAGGTGGTGCTCCTCTGTGCTCCTCTAAGAAGGCAGGGCCGAGCGCATCTTCTTGGGAAGATGTCCAAGGGAGAGAATTTATCAACAAAATTCCACAAAAGTAGGTGCTGTTCATATGAGAAGAAACTTGGAGAAGGTCAAGATCAAGGGAGAGAGAGAGATTAGGAAAGAATGAGAAGCTCCTGTCACATGGTAGGAGTTCAATAAAAGTAAGCAATTACTATATAAATCATCACCGCAGCTACTCTTTTTCTCACCAGAAAAGAACACAAGCTTCCTTTGCGAGCTGGAGATCCCCTGCCCAAGAACCGACTGACAAGCTGGTGTTTCTCCCTCAGACCGACACAGACTAAGTCACTAGGAAAGGATGTTCTCACCAGCACTCTAAGCGAGGCCTAAGGAGGCCGCAGCCCTTTCCCTGCCCCACCTGCATGTACGTGTCACTGAGCTGTCTCATGAGCCCGAGCCCCAGTGCACTGTCCCTTCATGCTTACTTGGCAGGAGAACACCTTGGCAGATACTTCACCAAGAGCTAGTGACTGAGTGATGCAGTCCCAGTTCTGGCTGGGTTACGCCAGCCCCGTGAATCCCAAGCAAGAGTCTCCAAACACGGTGGGTTCTGCTGCTGCTGACAGGATGCGCACCCTAAGGTGCTAGCTGAGGACTTAATGCAGAAAACAAGGCACCACAGAGAGGTTGGACACTTGAGTTGTGTGATTCAGAACACGCTGGAAAAGTCCAAGGGCGAAGGGAAGGAAGGGGAGGAGGAGGAGGGGAAGACTGAGTTTTAAATAACGTCTCATGAGGCTGGAGCTCCACTAGATGGGCTCTGGTTTGAGCTTTTCTGCTAGGAAGTCATTCACAAAGGCCTCCACAATGGCAGGGGTGATCTCTTCCACGTCCATCACGTACTTGGCCCGGGCTGACATGTCCAGGATGGTGAGCAAAGGGGCAGCCTCGGGCAGGTTGGTATAATCTCGCAGGGAGTCAGTCATGTCATCCTGGAAGTCACCAGAAGGGAGGGAGAACCAGTAAGTTTTTAAGAAAGAGAGTAGAGTTCCCCGGGCCCAGGTTCCCCAGATGGCATGGACTGGAACCACTCCATCATCCTGAAGAGCGGGACCCCTCCAGGAAAAATGGGCTCTCAGAACAGGGAGCAGTGGACCCTGCCCTGCCTTGTCCCTGCCAGGGAGGGGGAGACTGGTTCACAGATTCTCTCTCTGTATCACCCCAAACCACCATCTTTCTTTATTAGCATGAAAGCAACTTGAACATGTCCTCTGCTTTGTAAAAATGTGATGTCCTTTGATTATGTACTTTTGCAATCAACTCTCAATCGTTTGCAGCCCCACTGTGGATTATCTGAAGCCAATCTGGACTTCAACTCTGGAACATTTTCAAACAGAAACAGCTCACTGCCCCACCTCCACCCCTGGGTGTTAGCGGGGCCGGAGCTGCACAGCCAGTTCAGAAGACAGGGCTAGTGAAGTACTGCTGAGGTTTAACGGTTCACTGTATTTATCTGAGAAGGAAGCTGGCACTTGATCATCCATCCATTCCCAGCGACTGGCCAGGTGAATTTCCCTACTATCAGATGTAGCCTTACTAAGTCTAAAGGCAAACACAGAAATCCAAAGACAAGGAGAAAGATTTGTAAGGGAGCAACCATTTGAGATCACCTTTTATGCTGTTGACCCTCATTCAGTAGATAACAGAAAACGGACTCTACATACCCATCCCAGGGTCGTCTCGCTATGAAATGCACAATATTCTAATTGCAATGACAAGAGCGGCCTGAGTTGCCCTGCAGAGGAAGGGCGTGGGGTGTTCCTGGCCTTAACTGCTGGCAAGCAGGAGGCATAAAATTTACAGTTCACCAGTTTCTAAGACAAAAAACATTCCTTTCTCAAAGGGCAAATCTTGAGGAAGATTATTAGTGATCGTCTCCCCCCACCCCGCTGAAACAGCACACACTTCCCAGCAATGCTGGGTGATTCAACTTCTCTGGCTCTGTTCACCCGATTCAGGCCCTCCGTGTGGGTTAATAAACAATCTTCATGATAAACAGAGGGAAGACACCTGGACAAATACCGTACATCGAATTCCCATTAGAAGCCCTAGGCCAAGCCAAGAGCTACACTGTGTCCCCTCCCCTCTCCTCTGAAAAAACCACAGGGAGATGTATTTTAATGTCTATTAAGGCTTCAGAAGGGATGACAGAAGGGATGACTTCTGCCTGCCAGAGCAGACAGAATCAAGACAAACAAGGGATCCCCATTAGCCCTGGATGGAATGTGAGAGGGCCCGAGTCCTGGTCTCAGAGACACTCAGTCAATGCCTGATGTTCCAGCACCCTGTGCCCACCCTCCTTCCATGTTGCCTTGCTTCTGAGCACAAGGATAGAGAACTGGCCCAAGAGAGCTACCAGGGCCAGGAGCCCAGGTGAAGTGCACAGGAAGGATGGGGCAGTGAATGACCCTGGCTCCAGTCAACGTCCTGGTCCAGGCATCCTTCCCTCTAGGCCTGGGCCGGTCCGTCTGCCGGACCACATGGACAGAAGGAGTGAGAACACTGCTTCTGGAGTCACACTGACCTCATGTTCACTCCTCTCTCTGCCACCTACTTAACGTGTGACTTTGCAAGTCAGGTCTCCAAGCCCAGGTCTCCTCCCCTGTAAGATGGATTTAATAACAGCTCACATGGGGCCACGTGAGGCGTAAGAGCCAGCCAGCACTCACCCTCTCGGAGCCTGGCTCTCCTCCTCTGTGGAGCGGTAATGATTCACATTACCGGAGAGGTGAGGAGCAAGTGGGGTCTTGCAGGTGAAGCACTTGGCTTGGTGCCTAGTATCTAGAAAACCTGCAAATGCTCCTTTCCGCCACATTTCTAAAGCAGTTACTGGAGCTTTCCAGCCCCGACCCCTGCCCCCGGCTCAGCCCTTTCTGTTCTGCACCCCTCTTTTCTCTCAGAGCCATTCGAAAGGGTTAGTGTTTAATAAATTCCGAGCAGCCTCCGCGTGTGCTTTGTGTGGAGCGGACTTGTGTAGCCTCAAGGCAGGGCCCTGTGAACCTGCTTTGTTCCCTCTACCCCGGGGCTGAGCAGGGTGATTCAGCCGCCTGTGAGGGGCCCCGCAGGGCTTAGCAGGGGTGTCTATTGAGGGGGTGATGAATGGGTGGCTCAGGGTGTCTGGCCACCACTGCCTCTCCTGGGACTGAAACGCAGCGTGAAATGAGCACAAGGCTCTGGCCAACGGAGGTACAGATGGGTGGAGGAGGGAAGGGGGACTTCAAAAAGTGTCTGTCAATAACCGGCTTATGGCGGGTGCCGGGGTGGGTGGGAGGCAGTGGAGCATGCGTGGAGGATGGCTCCTGGGGGTGGGGACCGAGGTAGGGCATCTGTGCCGACCGCGGCCATCTTGCAGAGATTTCCACATCGCAGTATGGAGGCTCCTACACCTTTGGGGAGCCAGACGCCTGCTGCAGATGGCTCGCTTGAAGGGCCCTGAGAAGAGGCCCCTGCTAGGTCCAGGCCAGCTGGAGGCCTTCAAGGGACAGGCCTGGGGTGAAAGAGTTGGCATGTCAGCAGTTTCCAACCTCAGCACTCTCTCGGACTGGCTGGGTAACTGCAGGTCGCAGCTGTGGCCCCCAGCCGGGATCCCTGTAATGGGAACAGCCCATCTCCAGGCTGGTACGAGGGGACTAACCACGCAGACACTTTGCAAAGCATCAAGGGCCTGGTTTGGACCTAGCCCAGAGGGAGTAAGTGCTGTCACGATCTTTGTGGCTGCCACTGTCCCTAGAGCCTTGTTGGGAGATGGGCATGCCGGGGCTCTGTCCCGGGAGGGCATCCTGCTGCTCTTAGGCTGCTGAGTGAGAAAGACGGGAAAAGAAAGTAGCAGGGGCAGGAAATGGTTTTCTGTGCCTGATGACACACCTTTTCATGCCGCATTTGTCTGTGGGCTCTCCCAGAAGCACCATCACCCCAGACCCTGGGGCCCCTTCAGACATCCCCAAGGCCTCTCACTTGTGTTCTAAAAGTCAGTCAGTTGAGCCACCCCAGAGACACTCACCTCTCCCGCCACAAAGAACAGGAGCGGTGCCTCTTCCTCTTTGGCTTTGTACTTGGCGATGATCTTCTCGGCTATTGGCTGGATCAGCTGCTTGGCCGCCTCGGACTCCCCATCATCCTCAGAATCTGTGATGGGGAGAGAAAGACACAGGGACACACTGGCTTCTCAGACAGATGGAGTGGTGCCCCTGAGGGAGCCTAGGTCTAGGGCCTGAAACGCCCATCTGGGCAGCCCCTGAATGGAACAAGAGCTTCCCCTGGGACACAGGCCTCGCCTCCTGGGTGCACGAGGGTGGGTCCCCGTGTGCACATTTGCGTGCTCCCACAGCGCTCTTCTGCACCGTGCTCTCCAAGAACAACTCACCTCACTGAGTAGCACTAATGCCCCGGGCACACATGATCCTTTTCACTGAATTCTTCACAGACCTGCCTTGGAAGCTGAGCTTCCCTTAAGCCAGGACCTGAGATCCCCGGTAGTATTTCTGTCAATCACAGAATGAGAGGCCATGACCTCAGATCTCTTGACTTCCTAATGAAAATGGCAGAACCCGGGGCGGTGGTGGTGGGGGGACGGACACGGTTGTCAGGACTGTGGTCCCGTCAGCAGCTTTGGTGGCAGTGGGGAGGCACCAGGGCCACTGGAATGCCAACTTCACAGCTGTCAGCCGGCCTCACCTGGGAGGGGATAGGCTGACTGCATGGGAGGACACCTGACCAGGCTCCCCAGGGTCACCTTTAGGCACTTCTCCCCTCCAGTGAAAACAGCAGCGGGGAGCAGCCACACACAGGGTCCTAGGGCTCACTCCTGCTGAGCCCTGTAACCGAGGGCAAGAGCAGCATCCCCAAGGGGCAAAGCAGGGGGAGGGGAGAGCAGAAGATTTTCACCCAGAAATGCCACAGTGCCCAGGAGGCCCAGAACATGCAAACCCAACAGGCACCCTCTAGAGCCACATCTAATTAGCTCTGTGATGTTGGGGACTCGCCTCGCCTCTGGAACCCTGTTTCCACATCTGCAGACAGCCAGGGAGGTTCCCAACTGTCCCTCAGTTCAGAATTGCTTCCCAGCAGCCCCAGGATGTGGGTGTGTGAGCCTGCAGCAGGCAGGAAAGCCCCAAGGTGAATGATTCTCCAAGGCCACCTCTCTGCAGGGGGCCTCTGTCCTTCAAGCACAGGACCAGCCTGCAAGTCAGTGTGCTTAAGAATCCCCTCGAGTGTGCATACTGGCTCCCCTCCTGGGGGCCCCAAACCAGACTTGCAGTGAATGAGGGGAGGATCTTGCGCAAATCCCCAGTCACCCTCAGTGAAGGGGGTATGGCAGCATCTCAGCCATGATCCTGGTACCCAAATTATTTTGAATGGAGCTAAGCAGCAAGTCCCAAGGCAGAGGGTGAGGCGGCCCTTGGGCATCAGTTGCTGTTTGCAAGGAATCAGGGTGGTCCCACAGGGCTGCAGGGAGCCTAGAGTAAATGTTCCCATGTCCTCCTGCCCCGCAGAGCACAGTCACTCGCTGAGCGCCAGAGTGGGTGAGACGGGAGGGGCTGCTGGGGGGTGCCAAGAGGGGCACTTGGTTGCAGAGATGCTGCCCTGAGGCTGGGGCCGGCTCCAGCAGCCCCTCGGCAGTTCATCAGGACACAGGTGATGGCAGAGGCAGCCTGGGTGAGCCTTGGCCCGAGGGGGCCCAGCCCCCTGCAGCTGCTGTGCGTGCAGCCTCGCCTCCACCCAACAATGGGTCTGTTCATCAGGGGGCCCAGGGCATCCTCCCGGCCTGACCTATTCTTCCCAGCTGGCAGCCGGAGCAGCAAGGAAGGAAAGCACAGCAGCAGCTCCCAGAACACCTCCCGCAGGGGGAGAGCCATGAATAAATCATTGGGGTCAAACGCAAGGCTGCAGGGAGAGACAAAGGCCCAGGCTCTGCGTTGCTGTGACAGAAAGAAGCTGCAGGGAAAGACACCCCCACGGGAGGCCTGTCCAGTCCCATCGGCCCTGGGGCCCCCAGTGAGCTTCATACCTACAAAAAGGACGAGGCAGGGGCCCTCGTTGAGCTGCACGGCGTTGGAGTCGGAGAGCTCCAGCACGGGCTTGGGGTGCCAGGGGAACTCTCTGCAGTCCTCGTCGTTGAGCACCTCCACCCGCCCCTGCCGCGTGATCACTTCCCCCTGCGGGTCCAGCACGATGAGGGTGGGGATGCCTGCAGGAGAGAGATCGCTTAGGGGCCGGCCCCGTGGCATCATGGTTAAGTTCGGTGTGCTCCGCTTCAGTGGCCCAGGTTCGTGGGTTCGGATCCTGGGCGTGGACCTACACCACTCATCAGCCATGCTGTGGTGGTGTCCCACATGCAAAACAGAGGAAGACTGGCACAGATGTCAGGGTTAATCTTCCTCAAGCAAAAAAAGAGAGCTCGTGTAGAGACAGGCCCTGGCAGGAGGGGCCAGCTCCCACCCACAGTTCACAGGAAGGACCTAGGATGCGTGTGATACAGGCTGATGATTAAGAGTCAGGAAGCCCTGGGATGGAATCCAGGCTCAGCCACTGAATAGCTGCAGAACTCCCATGGGTCTACATGTAACTTCTCCATGGAACCCTGAGCATGTACTTCACCTCTCTGGGCCTCAGTATCCTCCACTGCAACGTGGTACATGCAGTTCCTGCCTTCTCCTACTATGTACAGATCAACGAGGTCGTGCATTTAAAGAACTTCGCACAGGGACTTGGCACATAGAAACAGTGGATAAATCCTCAAGAAATCCCAAACAAGCAGGAGACGTTGCCCGCACCTGCAGGGAGCCTGAAACCTAATGGAGGTGGGGTAAAAACCCATTTCCACGCAGAGTACCTGCTACAGACACACCAACCAGCACAAATGCCATGGGAGTCCTCGCACGGGCAGGAGGGCCCCACCATGTGAGTACAGGGGCCTGTGGAGGGAGGAGCCTGGGGCAGGGGCTGCAGTGCGAGAGCAGGGGGCTGCCAGTGAGCCAGCAGCCCTCACCCCCAGCTCCAGCCCTGCCTCCTAGGGAGAGTCCCATACCCGCTCTGAGGAGGAAGTCCCTGGAGGGAGCATGCTGATAGCCACGCTACTGTGCTCACATTCGAGTCCTGGGCTGGGGTAAGAAACGCGACACGAAGCTCCCCACAAACTGCCCCCCAACCATAAAGCCTCAAATGAAAAATCAGAGAAAAGCCCATCCAGGTTAAGAGTTTCCTACCTGCGTGCTCTGTGCACCCCACTCCCCGTTGCTTCTCCTCCAGCCAGGGCTACCCCTCACCAACCACAGCCAGAGTCAGCCTCGGCCCTGCCCTTGGGGACACCTGTCTCTGCACCGGCAGCCGGTCCCCTCCCCGCCTGGCACTAAGCAGCCGCGTCTCCTCTGGAACTGGCCAGCTTTAGTTTATGCGGGCCAGTGAAAGCCAGAGCAATTCCATATCTACAGATTCCAAAGCGTTCAGTGGGTGGCTGCACTGACATTTTACTCCTCTGCTGGGGGGACGCTGAGGTACCAGAAATATGGCCCTGGTGTTTTGTAACCTGCTGCAGTGGCCGGCTCAGCGGGCATGCAGTGGTAGGCCTGTCTTCAAAAGGAAAAACGAGTCCATTATGTTCACACCTATTAGAAGAAGTGGCTTGGCGTGTGAGGGAACAGGTCCAGAGAGAAACGGGTTCTGGAGGACTGCCATTCCCACTGCATCACACAGACCCATGTAGCCGGGACTCCTCGGGGGCTTTTAACATGCGCTCGGAGCTGTCCAGGCCTCCAGAGAAGCTGCGTGTCAGAGCACAAGAGACTTGGGACGTTTCCAGCCTCATCCTCGCAGCTGCGTTTTATCCCTCAGAAGCCTGGGGCCTACATCAGGTGTGTCCCCATCCCTCAGGATCGGGCTGGGCTTGAGTTAGCAGCCTTAACGGAGGCTGGGGCCACGACAGGCCAGCCAGCTGCAAACGCGTGCCTCCCCATTGCCGTACCCCATCTCAACAATGCCTTGGCAAAGTTCTTTAACCAGAAAGTCAGTGAGTTTCAGAAACTGGGCAATTACAAGTGTTGGGTTAAATCAGGGCCTGCCCATCGCTACGATCAGACACAGCAGCCGGTCTGTTTGTAGCCCAGACGTGGGAGGCCGCGTTGGTCTGTGAAGGACAGGCAAGCACAGAGGACAGAAAAGGGAGGAAAAGTAAAATCTGAAGGCAAAGAAGCCCGCTTCCTGGTTTGGTGCCCCAGTTTCTCCAAGGGACCACTCTCAGCTTCTTTGTCACCATGGCTGCAGCCCCTCAAGTTCATGCCGGTGGGGACCAGGACAGCAGGGCAAGGACCCGGAGCCCCAGCTGGCTGCTGAGGAGTCCTCAGCTGATTCCACGAAGGAAGAGCTCCCCGGGCCTTGGTCTCCCCACCCCGTCCCCATGGCTACGGGAAAGCAGTCCCCACTCGAATTTGGTGATTTAAACACCGAAGCCCATATCTAAGAGCCCAAGATGACGAGGTGCGTGTGTCTGTGGGGCATAAACAGAAAGCAACTCGGTAAAACAATCAAGCAGACTTCAACCCAGAGAAGCCCATTTCTGCATGTGGACGGGGAAAAGCATCTCCGTGCAGTGCGAGGCCCCCTTCCCATCACACGATCTTGGTTACCTTGGCCCTGGAGCCCTCGGTGTGTGCTTTCCTCCAGGGATGGGCCAGCGGGCGAGAGGAGGGATGCTCGCACCTCCGGTGCATCTGCCCTGTGCTAGGCACAGCAGATGCCGCCTCACGCCATCCTCCTAACAGACGGCGGCGGGAAGTATGACTGTGCACCTTTTACAGAAGGGCCAGCAAGTGGCCAAGCGGGACAGGAACCCCGGTCTGCTTATTGTAAAAGCTGCTGCTCTTTCCCCCAGGCCGCCGGCTGAGGGGGGCTCTCCCAGCACCAGGGCAAGGGGAGGCCCAGCATCTGCAGCGTTCTGCACCTCCCACCTCCCTCCTCTCCCTTCCAAAGGCTGCGTGCAGGAAGGAGGCTGAGACCACAGTCACCTCTTCCCTTTCCTCCCATCACGCAATCCCTGATCCTCCCCTCCTTGAAGCAAATCCCCTAAAGCAGAGCCGTCTAAGGAGAATACAGGGCAAAACTTAAAGGGAATGGAACATTTCTAATCAATGCCTTTATATGAAATAACTTCCACACCAGCAAGGGGCTTCTCTGGAGGCAATGAGAAAGGAGCAGCTCGGCTCTGCTTTGCTTGAACTTGTGTTTCCCAGCTGCAAGGGCTCGGACTCTTGGGGGAAGCGTAGTTAGAATTCTAGGGAAGATCCAGGCAAGTCACTTAACTTCTCGGAGCCTCATTTCCACAGCTGGCAAACGGGGGTGGTGATAGCTTCCAACCTTATTTGGTTGTTGTGAGGAATAAATAAGATGACAAGTATAAAATGCTTTTTATCGGAGTATCTGATATACAGTAAGTACTCTATAAATATTAGCTCTTGTTATAAATAACTTCATTATTATTATTATTTTTATTACCCCTAAGTTGGTTATTTGGCTCATGAGAAGGCAGAGGTACAGAAGACTGTGCCTTGCTCTAGTGAGATAAACAGAAACCTCCCTGCTGGCTTGAGGAAGTTAGCTAAAGACACAGAGGACAGAGAGTGTCGACACCACAGCGAGGGTTCCAGGAACAGTGTGACAGGGTTGGCGTTCTTTTACTTGCACCATCCCAAGCTTACCTTTTGGGCATAGAACACATACTCCATGCTCCTAGAGAGGGCTTCAGCCCCAAGAGCCCAGCCCTGGACCACAAGCAGTGCCTAAAAATCCCCTCCACCATCTCCTTTAAAACCTGGAGAAGAAAGAACAGGGCCTAAAAAGCCCACTCCCAACGGTTCCTCCTCAGAGGAGCCTATCTGTGAATATTTAGAATGATCTCAAGCCACGTGTACTGCAACTGTCCCACGGTGTAATTGGTTACTTTTCTACTGCCAAGGGAAGAGGGAGTTCTGAGGCGGGGAGGTGGGAGCTGGGGCAGAGCGGCTGGGCAGGGTTGTAACCCAGAGAGCTTTCTGTCTCTGCATGTGAATGGCAATATCATCTGAACGTGCGGGGAGCTGCGCAGAGAAATGGGAGGAAAAGCAGACCAGAAACAGGAAGGGCAGGTTAGGGCAGGTTAGGGGCAAAATATTCTGCAGTCACGGAAACGGCCATTATGAAAACCGTAGCAAGATGGAAAATGTCTGTGATGCATTGTTAAATAGAAAATATAGAATCCACCGTACTGTGTGTGCACTTACAACTGTGGACAAGCATGTATGCATGTGGACAGAGACCAAAAAGGCTCAGAAAAGTGAAAACAGTTGTGCTAGTAGGACAGGAATGTGGGTGAGACAGATATCTGAGTTTTCTTAAATGGTGTTATGATAGACCTAGTAACATAAAATAAAACTCGAACAAGAACCGAAGGGCAGCAGGGCTAGGTGGGGATGACAAATACAAACCATGCCTTGGCCACATGAACTGCCAGTTCCGTTCAGATCCCTCCTCCCCTCCTGGCTCCCCCAGAACATTCCCTTGCTTGGAGAGCTAAGGAGCAGAAGGCAGCTGGTTTGGGTGGTGAAGCTCAGAGAAACCCAAGGGAGGTCACAGGATGGTCTGGGCCTACTTGAACTTGGCCACCAGGCCCGAGTGGTTCGGGCACGTGCCTGTGTCAGGAGACAAGCACGAAGACATTCATGGCGATGTTCTTGTAATACAGAAAAACCAGAAACCACCGAGTAGCCGTCATCAGTGGAGCAAATAGATAAACTGTGGTACAGTCATACAATGAAACACTGTCCAGCACTGAAAAGAAATGAACCAGATATAAACATCAACAGGGATAAATCTTGAAATCATAACATTAAGTGACAAAAGCAAGTTGCAGAATGATATTACAGCATGTCAGCATTTAAGCTTGCTTCCAAAATACACGCCCACATGACTAGATATTATTCATGGGTTGATATATATGCAGTAAAACTATGAACACAGGTTACAAGGATACACGTGAAATGTTTGGTTGTGTCTCCCCCGGGAAGAGAAGGAAAGAGAAGGGCGGCACAGAGGAGTAAAGGAACCCCACCTCTGTCTGTGTGGTGCTCCCATTCGTTCATACCTTAAATACCTGAAGCAAAAATGTCAACTCTGGGTGCTGGCCATGTGGGTGTTTGTTACATTATTCTCGATCCTTTC